AGATAAAATATAAAAAACAAAAACCTAGTTTTAAGCCAAATGATTTTTAACACCTTGCAGAAACTACTATTTGCTATAAGAAGATGAATTTTTTTTTTTTAGTTTATGTGAAAATGGAGATATAGATAAAATTGTAGAATTAAGCATGGAGACATCTGGGTGCCTAACTCACTCCTGTGAGTGAGGAGGACAGGTGGGAGGATTGCTTGAGGCCAGGAGTTAGAGATCAGCCTGGGCAACATAGCAAGACTCTGTCTCTACAAAAAATAAAAATAAATAAATAGTTAACTGAGTGTAGTGATGCACACCTATAGTCCTAGCTACTTGGGACACTGAGGCAAGAGGGAAGAGAATTGCTTGAGCCCAGGGATTGGAGGTTGCTCTGAGCTATGAATATGCCACTGCACCCCAGCATGGGTGACAGAGTGATACCCTGTCTTTAAAAAAAAAAAAAAAGAAAGAAAAAAAGAAACAGGGAGACACTCTAGATTGTTTTAAATATTAGTAACTTTCCTTTGTATTCCAGTGAACTCTGGGCCCATTTTCTACCCTATGTTGTCAACATATCCCTTTCTTCTTCTTCTTCTTGTTTCTTTTTTCTGAGAAAGTGTCTTGCTCTGTTCCCTGGGCTATAGTGCAATGGTGTCATCATAGCTCACTGCGACCCCAAACTCCTGGGCTTCAGTGATCAGCCTGTTTCAGCCTTCCAAGTAGCTGGGACTACAGGTGTGCACCACCACATCCACTAATTTTTTACTTTTTCTCAGAGGTGGGGCCACTATGTTGCTTAGGCTGGTCTCAAAGCTTAAGACTCTGATACCAAAACCAGGAAAAGACCCAACTAAAAAGGAGAATTTCAGACCAATTTCACTAATGAATATAGATGCAAAAAATTCTCAACAAAATCCTAGCCAATAGATTATAGCTTATTATCAAAACTCTTACATCATGATCAAGTAGGTTTCATCCCAGGGATGCAAGGCTGGTTTAATATACTCAAGTCTATAAATGTTATTCACCGTATCGATATTGGTAAAACCAAAGATTATATGATCCTCTCAATAGATGCATAAAAAGCATTTGATATAATCCAGCATCCCTTTCTAATTAGAACACTGAGGAATATAGGCATAGGTGGCATATTTCTTAAACTGATCAAAGCTATCTGTGACAAACCCACAGCTAATATTTTACTGAATGGAGTAAAAGTGAAAGCTTTTCCTCTTCTAACTGGAACCAGACAAGGTTGTCCTCTGTCACCATTACTAT